ACCGAGAGCAAACTGTATTAAATTGGCTCTATCTGGTATCAAAAAGTCATGCTATAAGAAATTGCTGCGTTGCCGGGTTCATGGTAACTCGCAGAATGACAGGGATTCCGATCGGAGACGATTCGATTTAGGAGTTTCCATGGTTTCTGTTCAACTCAAGGGCTGGAAATTACGTTATCGTTCGTGTTTGCTTTGTTTTTCGTGTCCAATGTAATTAGTAATTTAAGAAAACCGCCGTGAAACCGTCTAATAACAAATTAACTTATGTTTGGAAACAAGCATTGTAAAAACAGTGCGTTAGAAAATAACGGTTGAAGGTGACAGAAATATATCCTTGACCTGACCACTTCAATCATGTTTTAAGATGGCCATGAATCGTGGAAGAACGAGCCATTGTCTGTGAGGGCTGAAACGCTTACATGGGCTTAAGAACTATATTTATTAAAAAAAAAAAAGAAAGAGTTCAATGCAACGCAGAATTGTTGTCCTTGCTAGCTCTACACCGTATCCAAAGGACTTTTAGTATATCGGTTTCGACAAACCTGTGTCATCTTATCGTTATATTATTGAATACTAGATCTTCGCTTGTGGGTTGTCTGCCGTTCAAAATTGCATGGCTGTTGGCCCTCGTTTTATTATCGAGTCAAGTTTCCCTATTCCACGCTAGCACCTAAGACCTACGTCCTTTTTTCGCTTGTTACTCTATCGTAGAGAGTGTCTGTAGATGTTTCAATATTGTAGCACATTCACGCTCATGTTATCGCTTTCATTGATATTGGTAAAATTGATTGAGTGGAATGATGTCTATATTGTATATAGAGTGCCGCTTTGTCACCTGATAGAATGTTACACTGAATTCCCGAATTGAATCCCTTTACACAAGAATGTAAGTTAGGCAGTTCACCTTGACAATCGATAGTCGTAACTTTCGTAAGAAAAAAGTTTGTTGTTACTTCGTTTCGGAGGCCAGTCGAAACATTGGCTGCTGTTGCTGACATTGTTCAAAAACAGATAGAAATACGTGTACTGGCGTAAGAAGATCGTCAATGACGTCAGACGGCACATCGCTAGTTTAACCGGGTACCGACTCTGCACCTCGACGGCTTCACCGCCATAGCTTACAGCGAAATGAGCTCCTCAAGATTGAAAAGTATGGAACTGATAAGGCCGATTCAACTTTAAGCCTCTAGGTCATTGTGAAATCCCTGAAAAGAGAATGTGGACCGTTTCCAATTCACGCATAGCGGTTAGATCGTTCTGGTGTCTGATTCACAGGCACAGTCATAATTTTGCAACGACTGGCTTCTTTTCAGTGCCCGATGCTGCATCGTCAAGTAGCTTGAAAGCCACCCTATAGCTATTGTCAATCAACGCCACGGTCGGGAAACACTTTTTATTGAAATGGAAAGTCGACTACGGTGACACGAACGACATTTCTTGTTGAAGAAGGTAACACTGAGAGGCTTGGTCAGCAAATATAAAGGAACTGGCTTATCTGATGAGAACAGTGCAACTGCAAATCGGATGAACAAATCACAACTTTGCTAGCGAACAATGTATAATATCCCGGTCCAAAGGCCTCAACACAACGCCATGCGCATTATCTCAGCTTATCTACGACCAATTTGTAACGCATTTTGAACTGTAATCAAGACCCAAACCATTTTTTGTTTCAACCAAGTTAATACATTTCATGGGACACAATCAATCTGCTTGAGACCATATTTGCAGACCGGACGATCTCTGAGGTGACACCGAGCAACGATTATGTTTTCTTTCTCCCGTAACGTTATGCGAAGGATAAGATAGGGCTCAAAAGAATCTATAAAACAAATAAGCAATACGCCTTTGCTTTGAAGTAGTTTTCCATTTCTTTCCAACGAAGTATTGTAGCATCGATAATATCTAAACCACGCTATCTTATATATGCAAGATTAGCTATGTGGTAGTAGATATCTAATGAATATTTAATAGTACTCAAACAATTCATAGTCTTCTCATATACAAAAAGTTGAATGAATAGAAAAATTACAAGGCGACCGTACCTTTTGCTTTGATAATTCTCGAAGCTACTAGCTGATGAAGAATTTGGTTTCAACTATATTCTCTTTATTGTTAAGGATTTTTTTTTTAAGTTACCGTTTTAAGTTACTGATTTCAAAGCTCAGTCATTTACGCAATGTACTATTACGAGGTTTGGTAACCTTATTAGAAGCAATGGGGTTGTCCCATGTAAATTTATGGGGTTGAAGGTAGAAATATGTGTAAAGAAATATTGATCTTAATGTTAGCTTATATAGTGATGGAAGTAATAATTCTGCAACGAAAACTCCAGACAGATTAAAGATGCGTAACGTGTTTTAAAGCGGCAAGATGGCAAAAAAATTCTTTCGTGTTGCTAAGATTCTGGCCAAACAATCTCATGTCACACTAGATTTTTGTTGTGTTTTGTATATCGTTGGTAGTCAGTTAATGAAAGTGTCATTATCGATATGGACTTGTAATTGTGAATAACTGCAATACGAAAATGGAAACAGAACACGCAGCAGATACGTGTCAATGCTTCATATTGCAAAAACACCCCTTGGCCAGAAGAAGAACATTAAAATATATTTTTATAAACTCCGCCACGTACCCATAGATGGTGTCCCAGAAGCATATCGAATGGGTTAAGAAATGGCGCCATTTCAGCTGTTTGCTGGACATATTTAATGTCGGAACGAGACACCTCAAAAACGAAAAACTACGGGAATATGTTTACTTTTTAATTTATCTAATTCAGCAACGTCCTTTACTCAGCCTTTTATGGTTTATAACTCTATGAAATATGTGTACATAAAACTTTGCGAAGTACCCGAATCACAGAAATACAGATACATACGTCGATATTAAGCAAAGGATACATGTTTCTAAGTCACGAACAGAATTTGCCTTTTCAGGTGCACTAATGCCTAAACGTACCTGCGACCTGAGTGGCGGTATTGCGGTTTAGATTCGCACCATCCTCTGGATTCCTATTAGATCATTATTAGAAACTCTTGCGGCGATGAGGCGAGAACGTGGAAGGCTGCTGTGCTTGGGATCAATGTCCACGATTAATCTGGATCACTTTTGAATATACGGTAGACAAGTCGGCTCGCCTCAACACTGGCCTGTTGCTAGGCCGCCTATGTGTCAGTTTATAGGTGACTAACAGTAATGGTGATAGGGATCATGGTACAATATGTTCTACGTGCTATAGAGCCTATATTAATCAGGCTTGAAATTAAAAATATTTTTGTTTGGTGGTAAACCTAAGTTCCACGAAGCTATTTCACAAGAGGATAGGCAAGGCCTATTTGATCCAGCCTGATACTCATGAGATGTCTGTTGATCTACGAATTCAAATTTCCTCATGTTATACTACCCGTGAGAATTATTTCGTCTTAAGAACATCATTGCTTGCTCCTCAGACAACAATAAATCAGTTTCGATTACGTAAACATCGTAAAGGAAGTCTGTGCTACTTTTCTTTGTTAGTTCGTTCCGGCCTATGACTTGATGTTCGTTTATGAAGAAAAATGCAGCTTTGTCAAACAGTTGGACCAAACGTTGGTAATTATGGGCTAGGTACGAAACGCTGACCTCGTTTACGACGCGCAACTGGAACGATGGTAGTCCGTGTAGCGCCTTTTATATGAGAGTATAATTAAAAATTGCGTCGATAGATGTCCTCAAACGGATTCGAGGGAACACGTTAATAAAATGCAATATTGTCTCACAGTAACTTTGCCTATGATAGGCCGTGCGACACTACAATTGAGGTACATGCTAATCCTGTCTCAGTATGTATGTACGAGAATTGCATTTTCCAAGTATAGGCGTAATATTGAACACACTATTTTGTTGTCCTTTAAACATATAGCGTGTTTAAATTGTTTTCAATCTGAAAACAAATAGTCGAGGAACGATTATATCAGGCATAATGGCTGAAACCGAACGACTAAAGAGTATAACAAAACATTTACAAAAATTATATATATATATATATATATATATATATATATAT